ACCCAAATGAGGACAAATTATAAGAGACACACTGTGCTAGCAATGCATTCAGTGGGAAATAATGTGTGTTTTATCTAGTCCAGGATTGTAGAATAGTCGGCTAGTCAGTTTTTGGGCAACTAGTTGTGGCTATTTCTATTGATCATGAATGTTGACGTGTATTGTTTATCTAGATTTAGCTTTGATGTTCTTAGCTGCAGTGATTGAGATCCAGAAATACATTTAAAGGTCAACTTTATAGAGAGGATTTCACCATATGGAAGGTGTGTTGTGTTTTAGTGTGCTAATAGAGTGCCAAAGTTATGTCGTCACTTTGTAGGACAACTCGGAAGATAGTGACGCATGGGTTCCCTCGATCGAAAAGCTTTGCATTTTCCCCATAGATAGACTTTTGGAAAATTGCAAAAAATAAGATCTGTGTTCAACAGATTTGTGACCCTTCCACAAGAGTATCTTTACAAGTACACATTTTGAAGCCTATATTAAGTGTAAAAAACACAAGCAGACACAATAAAGTTTAAAAAACACAAGCAGGTTATAACTGGTGTGTTTTATGTCATAGATCAAAACATGAAGATATTTAGAGGCTTTGTTCACCACAGACCTTATCTCAGGCGATTTAGCCAAAACCCATTCAAAAAACCCATAGACTTTAGAGCGAGTGAACCGCGAGTGCTAAAATGCTAACTCGCTTCCGCGTTTGGCCAACGAAGTGACATCATAACTTCGGCACCCTACAGTCCAATGGTATTCGGTACAACTCATCAAAATGAAAAATGATTGGCACATGAGCGCTGCAATATTTCCATTCAAGTTTTTTTTTAAATAGCAATTTTCACAATGATTATAATTTCAAAGCAGCTTTAAGATGACATTCAGCACGACAATAGCTACGCTTACATACACATTTGTGAATTTAACTTTGGAATATCGCATAAAACGTTTGCAAATAAAGCACAGTTTCCAACCCAAATAGAAATTTCCAGTGAAAGAGGCGCAAACTATCAACTAATATTTGGTGCAACTAGGAGCCACTGTGGCTCTTTTTTCCCACATCCTAATGTTTGAGAATACAACTTATGCGGTAAATGTGCTTTAATCAAAGTATACAAGCATAGGCTTATCTTTGTATCGGATTTAAAAAAAAAAAATCCACCAAACAAGTTTTTTTTTATGTGGATCTTGGCATTTCTATCCATTTCTATTTGCGGAAACATAGCTAGCGATACATTTACTGATGAAACACACACACACACACATATATAGTATATATATATATATAAATACTGTTGAAGAAATCATGACAATTTAATATTTATTAATGCTTTTGAATTTTAAGAACTTAAATATTTCGTAATAATTTGGTATGTTACGGTTTGACCGCTTTTGTAAATTTGCAGATTATTGCAAAATCAAAGTTACAGCTAAAGGGTAAAAAAATGGACTAAAATAAATATTGCATGACAATTCATTCAAGGGACACTTTGATTTAAGGTCGTCATTAAACTAAAAGAACTAGAGGAAGCCTCCAAAGACAATGAAAATGTAAAAAAAAATTAAGTACTTTTACAATCTGGATGAGACGACAGTGCTCATCGTTTCTGATGCGTTCTGAACGACTACGAAGGGGCATTAAAAAGTCACTCTGACATGGGGTATCGACCCAAGAACAATAACACTTTTGCAAAACATTCCTGGCAGGAAGCAGATTGCCAAGAACAGATTTGGATGGCTGCTGTGTTTAGGTTGTACGGCCTGGCAAATTATCCAGACCGCATCGTGCCAAGGTTCAACGGTTTTCAATGATGCAAGTAAATTAAAGAGCTGAAGAGGAATTCTTTAATGGTCCTCGATGTAAATATGAGACGTTACAGAGCTCCTTACTGCAGAGGTGCATCACGGTCTCCCTTTGAAACAGCCAACAGAGACATTACAGAAATGCGGTAACGTCTTACAGGCGTAAGGGAACGTATCAAATACTGCGGTTCAGACACTTCCAGCCCGAGGAACAGGACACAAATCTTTTTCCTTTACATGAAATATTACACAACTAACCATATTCCCCTCTACGGAACAGTGAAGTAATCATGCCTGTGCAAACGTAGCACAAAAAGCCACCGCTATATTTAAACAGAGAATGAGATTCTCCTTTCTGAAATCATTTTTAGTCTACTTGTCATTCAGTATCATGTAACCAGGCAATAGATTTACATTATTGCTTCTTCAACTTTAGACTAAGGTTACACTAAAGTATTACTTTGTCTTATAGCCTGGTCTGGGTGAATACTCGATTCTGATTGGCTGCAAGGTGTCTATTTAAAAGTGATAGAGGACACCTAGTAAAGGAGTTCTGGGGAAACTGACCGCTTACCGTTCGAAATTAATAAATAAATGCGCTATATAAGCTGTGAGTAATCATAGCAACAGGCAGTCAAAGAATTTGTTTACAATTTATTGTGTATCAAAACAATCAACTATTTAGATGTTGGTAAAAATGTTTTTTACCATTTTATCATTTAGATGTTATACTATACCCAACTATGGAAGCTTGTTTCCACCACAGAATGAATGAAAAAAATAAGTAAATAATTGTGACTCTCACAATTGCGAGATATAAAGTTGCAATTGCGAGATATAAAAAAAAAAATAATAATAAATAAATAAATAAATTTAAAAAAAAAAAATCGCAATTTTGAGAAATAAGACACAATTCTGAGAAATAGACGCAATTCTGAGAGAAAGTCGCAATTCTGAGAAATAAAGTTGCAATTCTGAGATATAAAGTCGCAATTGCGAGACAAAAAGACAATTCTGTGAAATAGTTGTAATTTTGAGGAATAAAGTCGCAATTCTGAGAAAAAGTCGCAATTCTGAAAAATAAAGTTGCAATTCTGAAAAATAAAGTCACAATTCAGAGAAATAAAGTTGCAATTCTGAGAAATAGTCGCAATTGCGAGAAAAAAAGACAATTCTGAGAAATAGTTGCAATTCTGAGATATAACGTCGCAAATCTGAGACATAAAGTCGCAATTGCACGAAAAAAAGACTTGAGACTTTTTTTCTCACAATACTTTCTCACAATTGCGAGTTTATATCTCAAAATTCTGACTTAATACCACGCAATTCTGAGAAAAAAAAGTCGCAAATACCTTTTTTATTTTTTATTATTTGGCGGAAACAAGCTTCCATACCTAACAGTGCGTTTTAATTATAGGCAAAAAAAAAAAAGTTAACTTTCTGGCTCGTAGCTTAAACTGAAGTGAAGTTAGCTAAAGTGAAGGGTTCGACGAGCTGAGCGGACTATAAATATCTCCGGTTGCTAAATAAACCATCAGGCGTAACCAAGGAAACCAAGTTATTGTTCGTAAAAACTTTAGATTTCGATTGTAAAACTAATTGAAATATAAATGTGTTATTTGGGAAGTGACCATGGTATAAGCGGGTTAATGCCCTTCGAGGTGTCTATTGTCTGGAGTTCGGCAGAGGAAACCGGTCACGCCTTGCCATCATCCATTAATACCCGACAATGGACACCTCGTCGGGCATTAACCCTTACGTCAGCTGTCAATAACTAGACAAACGAATGTGAGAACACAAAAAAGGCAAAACTTGACATTTTCCCACCATTTCGGATTCTGGGAAGATATGATGGTATTTCATACAGTGTGTTCACAAAGACTCCAAAAATCCCTTAAGAAGTCAAATTATACAGTACATTTGTTATGCATCCAAATAAAGGTCAAAAGAGTTGAAAGTCAAATGGCCATCTGGAAACAAATGATAGGAGGACAGCATGCAAAGGACACATCGCAACAGATGCAGGTGAACCAACAACACCTGGACACAATGCTGATATTCAAGTCGCTGAACTGGAAAATGCAATTGAATGGAAATAAGAGTTGAGCGCAAACACTCTTCCATGGATTGGGGATCCAATAGTCTGAGACCACTAGTGAAACTGCTTAAATTTTGCATTATTTTCTATGTAAATATCTTTGTTCATTGCAATTGATGTTATAAGTTGTATAACAATTTGAGTGAAAAGTTGCATTGAAACATGGAATTACAGCAGCACTTGAGCTGACATGAACAAACCCCAATGATCGTGTTCTTCAGTACAATTTGAGAGGATCCAAAGAGCATCTTGTGCTTCAATAGTGGAGAATCTTAAATTTTTCTTCTTTAAATTAGGGATGCACCGATATGGACATTTTTACCTTTATATCAGAAAGCCGATAACTGATATATTGGCTGATTAATCTAAATCCAAATTTGTATATAATTTGAGAACCTGATTACAAAAACAAAAGTCTCAGGCACACAATTACAGTATAATGATGTTCTCATTATATTGTGTAGCCAATTTGACAGACTTGTGCTGCACATGTTGCCTTTAAATGCATTTTCCTTTTTAAAAATGATTCCAATTTCAAGCAATACAAAAACATCATGGCGAACATTGCAGATCTGAAGTGTCTCGGCTGAAGGAAATAATTTATCGGCTTTAATATATCGGCCAAATTTTCTTATCGTGCCGCTAACGAAAACATACACGTTCATTTTTATCGGCCGATACAGATATGGGGGCCGATATATTGTGCATCCCAACTTTAAAATATATTTAAATATCAAAAACTGTTTATTTACAAGCAAAGAATAACAAAAAAGTTTCAATACACCCACTTTTCAACAAAAGTGTTTCCATGGTAACCATAGTTCCCACAAAACTTATATTATTACTAATGTACATCCATTTAAATGGATATGAGATCTCTGGCAAACAGTGAAATCATTCAGGTTATTGGTTTCATTTTAAGTTTAAATGGCTGTAATGGCCAATATCACAGTAGCAATGCATCAAATACATTTAGCACGTCACATTTTTATAGGGCAGTGTTTTCTTTAGATGACTGCAGGCCACAGAAAGCTACGGAAAAATAGCTTTCAAACCCAATGAGACTGAGTTTAGATGATTGTTCTTGTCCTGAGCAGATTCTTACCTCCTCATCGGACGTGTCGTGCTCGTACTCGTCCACCTGTGAGGAAACCTTGAGGCCGCCGTCTCTGTCGGACACACTCTCTGCTCCACCCTCCTTCCCAGACGCTTTCTTCTTCTTCTTCTTCTCCTTTTCCTTTGAATTTTGGCCAGAACTCTGTAGAAAAAATGAAAAAACATTAGTTGTAACCAAAACCTCAGCTTATGTACTCAAATACGAACAATTGTTTTCTATAAACAGGACCACACATTAAAAAAAAAAAAGTATAAATGTTTTAAATGTTTATAAAACTAGAAGTATATCAAATAAATAATAAAAAAAGAGAATTCCATATAATCTATTTATTGGCAATTTTAATCTGACAAAATCTAATGATCAAGATCAAAATCATTACTTATTACTTACTTATTATATCGTCCAGCCCTAAAACTTTATAGTTTTTTTTGGTCAGTGTTTATTAAAAAACATCCAATAATGCAGAATATGCAATGATAAATATTTAATGGATGACTTGTTAATACTGTATATGAAGAGTTCAGATGCAAAAGCCTCTAAATGCCATTTGAAATGTTCTTCTTTAATGATGATTTTTATCAAACTTGTATATTTAAGTTAAGTAATTTCACTTAAATAACAATTAATAGGTAATTATCATTGCCATTTAAGTGAAATCACTGAACTTAAATATACAAGCTTGATAAAAATGATCATTCTAGAAGAAAATTTCAAATGGCACTTAGAGGCTTTTGCATCTGAACTCTTCATATATAACAATACAAAATATATAGGTATGGTTTTACACCTAAATTCAGCATATTGACCCAAAATGATTCTGCAAATCCAGCTTTCGCTGACTGGAGTCCAGTCGTTTCTGTGAATTGCAGCGATTTCTATAGCAGTCTGTAAATATATACCTCCGATTTTTGTCAAATCTAGTTATACAGTCAATCGCAAAGCTCTTTCCCACTTTATACGCGTTGTGTTTGTTTTTCGCAGCATTTTTCGCTGAAAACATATACAGTCTTTTTGCCACTCACTGTGAGGAACGGCCGATGGTGACATCACGCGCATAGTAATTATAAACTGTGCATTATTACATGCAGCTTACCCTAAACCAAACATTACTCAGTATTATTATTACTCAGTATGTAAATGTATAATTACCCTAATACGGACACCATAAAAAAAAATGCAACCAAAAATACAGTATTTGAAAAAGCACTAGTTATTTTCAAAGCAATGGTATGCGACTAATATGTGCAGTGCATTGTGCCCAATATTAAAAGCAAATGCTAAAATTGTGCAAAAAAACGTTTTTAAAACACTCATTTCCCTTTTTTACGGCAGCTCCATGTTTCAGATATGCAGTTTATTTCATTGCGCGCACAATGAAAGCTTTCCTGTGGGTGATTTACACGTGCGCCGTTGACGAGCAGTCGCCAGAACCTCACATCCTGGACATCGGGATGAAAGCGGGTTATTTACCACAGCCCATCAGTCACCAGAAGGCCAAACGGACTGAACGTCTCCTAACAGGGTCGAGAGGAAGAGCAGCTTTGAGCCGCCGCGTCTCCCACGAGCCCGGGACGGGGCAGGTGAGCAACCTGTGCTGATTTACGGCTCCTCAACGTCCCGCTATCTCTTGGACTGCAGAGCTAAGTGAAACACTTCCTCCCTGAAGCCCAGTTAAATCCACATCAAGACGCCCGAGCCCTGCGTTCCTGAATGCCTCGCGCAGCCCGGGGGACGGCCCATTTTTCCGCTAGCCCTGAAGATCTAAAAACAAGCTGAAACACAGTTTAGGAGAGGAAGAGTTGGGGGAACGACACCAGTGGTTCTGAGTCATTAAACCGCAGGCCAAATCAGGACGTGACCTGTTGGGATAAGCAGCCGTATCGAATATTCACAACCAATTCAACATTATGGACTTGTGTCACGTTTAGCTTGTTTATTCTTCCTTGCATTGAGATTAAAAGCATTAAAACAGATGTTTTCTCCGATTTTAACAAATACCACTGAAGTTTGTTCATGAATCAATTCAAACTAATTCAACCTGAACCACCAGAAGGCATAAATTTGAATGTTTTAGTAAGAATTAGCGCTGGATAATGGATTAATCGATTCTCATTTGATATCGATTCTTAAATCTCGAGAATCGATTAGTCATCCCGTTTCATTTGAATGAATGGGACATTGTATCGTGGCTGCGCGCATCCAAAAAAAAAAAAAAAATATTTGCAATAATCTTTGTCCTTTGTTACTATTGATATGAAACAAAGTCTCAATTTTCAAATTACGTCCATTTTCTTTCGAAATTCAAAAACATAAATAACGTTTTGGCGCTGTGGCGTGAGATCGCTCTGGAGAAGCAGCAGCGCTGATCTCTCTTCCGGGTTAATAATACCAGTCACAGCGCCAAATAAACATGAATGGAAATCTGAAAGTGTGTTAGAAGATAGAGTACAACTTAACGAAATCTGTGTCATGTCACATTGATTCGCTCAATCAGCGTTTCAACCGTGGAAAGACGTCAGTTAAACAGCTTGTAATCAATGTATCGTCATATTTACCTCAGAAAACCCACATAAACTCGTTAGTCAGCTAGAAAAAATAACTCTAAATATATACACCATATTACATATGCATTATAATCTTAATGTTCTTCAATATTTAATGCATATTTGAATAAATCTGGCAAGTTTTTATGAGAGCCACCATTTAAATGTTTATGTCATACAATCTTCTTATTATAAAAATAAATAAAAGTGTAATTTAAGTGTTTGTATAGCTACAAAACAGTTCATTATTACCTTCATATTAGGCTAATGAAGTCTATAGGCTACAACTAGACTCCTGTAGTTTACAGCATTTAAGAGATTTGATTCCCTTGAGAATAATGGTCATTTATTGTAACTGATATCCAAAATAATCGATATTGATTTGAATCGTAATCAAAATCAAATCGAATTGTGAAATTTGCCTCAATACCCAGCCCTAGTAAGAATACTGCATATGCTTGTAAAAATTGTCCGTTTATGACTATGCTTTGTTATATTGATGTATACGATTCAATCTTATTCTTTCCTGTTAAATTAAAATTAAAAAGTCTTCTTTTCAGGCCCTTTCAGAACAACCACAGGGAAGAGATGAAGCTGAAAACGATCGAAATATAATATTATTTAGCAACACATCACCCAGGTGCATTTACTCAAACATGCAGAGGGACACTCCACACGTGAAATGAACACACTCGCTTGTTACCGCAAGAGTCCGGTAATAAAAGGAGGATGTGTGGGCAGAGAGATCAGCTTTTGACAGATGATGTTGGAGAGGCCAGAACTGAAGAGCTCACGGTGTGGATTCAGATTAAACACAAGCTCTTCAGGACGTCTGGCGGCGTGTGGCCGAACGCCAGAACAACCACAAACCCATGTGTGCTGAAGATGATGCGGACCAAAGCATGACGACAAGAGATTGGGTCTCGAAAATTACAACAACAAAAAAAACCTCACACACACACACACACACATTCTCTCTCTCTGACACACACACTCTCTCTCTCAAACACACACACAATTACATTATATATTGAAAGAAGTGAATAATTTTATTCAGCTATCTTATTTATTTATATATATATATATTTTTTAATAAAATATCAAAAAGATAAACAACACAGATTTATTTTTTACAGCCATATTTGATCATATTTACCAAGGGGGCAAATAATTCTGACCAGCGCGTATATAATAGTTTACAACGGTTGTGCTAAAGCAATATATATATAAATCTACACACACAATAATCGCATCCAAAATAAAGTTTGTGTTTACATAATATGTGGGTGCACTGGGTAATTATTTTGTGTATATATATATATATATAAGAGTTCAGATGCAAAAGCCTCTAAATGCCATTTGAAATTTTCTTCTTTAATGATGATTTTTATCAAACTTGTATATTTAAGTTCAGTGATTTCACTTAAATGGCAATGATTATTACCTATTAATTGTTATTTAAGTGAAATTACTGAACTTAAATATACAATTTTGATAAAAATCATCATTAAAGATGAAAATTTCAAATGGCATTTAGAGGCTTTTGCATCTGAACTCTTCATATATATTATATATATATATATATATATACAATACACACACAAGTATGTATATTTAAGAAAAAAAATATTTAGATATAAAATATTTATATATAATATAAATTTTATATAAATCTATATACAGTGTATATACATGAAAATATTTCTTAAATATTTACAAGCATGTGTGTGAATTATATATATATATATATAATAATTATACACAGTGCACCCACATATATTATGTAAACACAAACTTATATTTTGGATGCGATTAATCGTTTGACAGCCCTAATAATATATTATATATATATATATATTACTGGATACTACATTGTTTGTGCATTATTACAAGTATTACAATATATTGCTTAAGCATTGCATTATTCCAATGAATGCATGAATCAAACAAAGAAACGAACACACTGACAGGCTTTTGGAGCACATCTCGCATCCGTTTCAAACCTGCACACACACATTCATTCGTTTGCACAATAATAACGTGTTTTTAATGTCTGTTGGCGGGCTGTCCCGTGTTCCGCTGCGAAGGCCTCGAGTCGCTCATTATTTCTTTCGCTTCCTCTGAACTGTGGTTGAGTTATTGAGTGAGTGAGTTACGGACGGAACAATCCGACGCCACTCACGCTGATACTTAATTAGGACCGTGGCTACTCAATTAAACGCGTCCCGTCTGACCCGTCACGTGTGTCAGCGGACCAGCCGTGTCTGCAACGCGTGCTGTGTGTGGGCGTGCGTTAGAGAAGAAGCCAGTTTGAGGGTAAGATGAGCCCCTCTGGTGTTTTCCTCATCTCCCACCCCCTCACGCAGGCGCTGCTGGATCAGACACACGGCTGCAGGAAACCTCGCAGGAATCGTAACGTCTCCGGCAGCCGCATTAACTTCGGCCTGGTGTGCATCAGTCAGAGTCGTGATCCTCGACAAAAGAGCGCAGGGAAAAACACAAGCCGGGGGAGCGGATTAAGAAGTTGAGACGGGAACAATACGTCCCACGGCCTCAGAGATTTCAATGCTCTCGTCAGACACATCCGCTGGCGCGCAA